AAGCAAAACAATAGAGATCACAAAATCTAGAAAGACACCCTTGTCCAAGGAAGAAGTCTAGTTCGTTGTTAAAACACAGTCCGTTATCTCTGTCAATGCACCTTTCTCTCCTGATTTATGACCTCACAACTCAGCTTTTTCCCTTTCTCCATCCTCCCCACCCCATGTTTACCCTCTGGGAAAATATTTTTTGAAAGGAGTTATTAATGGCTACATAATAGTTCATCAAATGGATTTATCATAATTTCCTTGGCCATTCTCCCATACTAGGATATTAAGCTGCTTGCTTGCTTTCTCTCTCTCTCTCTCTAATTTTTTAAACAATAATGTTGCCATGAAAATCTTTGTGCATAATGCTTTCCCTTAAGATTCTTAAGATAAATTTTCAAAGCTTAAGCTTACTGGGTCAAACTATAGGAAGGTTTTAAAGGTGCTTGATATTTAATGTTCATAATACTTTATAGAAAAGGGAAAACTACTCCCTTTTCATTTTGACTCTGTAAGACAGTATTTACTTGGGAGACTTGCCTTTTCCAGGAGTACTGCTCAGTTCATATTAAAAGGAGTGTGTTTATGGGGTGTTCATTGCCTGCGGGGGAGGGGAAGAGGAGCCAACCAGATTGTCCCTGAAATCCATTGCAGATGATCTGTAGGGGGACATGTCTGATAAATAACCAAACATGGGAGCGTTATTATAGAGGATAAGGGAAAGTACAACAATGAACTCCCAAACCCACTGCCATCTCAGAAGGAAATGGGTTATGCCTGAGGCCTGGAGGTGCAAAACACCTATGTCAGGTGCAATCCTGGCGTCGTTTGACTTTATGATGTACCAACAAGATGCATCTTGTCCTGACACTATCTCAGCAGATCTCCTACTCAAAAAGGTGGTGGTTGAACCAGAGTTCTGGCAGCTGCTGTTGCTGCCACTGGGGAAGCCGAGATAAATACTTACTCGTGCTGTTTCCCCGGAGGCCTGGCCAAGCCTCTGTCTGTGTCTAACAGTGTCAGCTTAATTCTGGATCGGGCCTAAACTAAGCATGAGGATTAGACTGTTTCACCCAGGCTGCTGCCTCTGATTACACTACATCGTGACCACCCCCACTTCCCATTTCCCTGCAGCCCCTCTGTGTACCACCCAAGTCAGCTGGCTATGGGGTGAAGGGACAGAGAGGGACTCAGCCAAAGAGCAAGACTTGGGAGATAACATGACCAGAGGTCACTCAACATCATAGACACTTTAACTGGAAAGAATATTAGTGGTGCCGAAACCAGTTTGGCTCAGTGGTAGAGCATCAGTCTGCGGACTGAAAGGTCCCGGGTTCGATTCCGGTCAAGGGCATGTACATTGGTTGTGGGCACATCCCCGGTTGGGGGTGTGCAAGAGGCAGCTGGTCGATGTTTCTCTCTCATTGACGTTTCTAGCTCTCTATCTCTCTCCCTTCCTCCTCTCTGTAAAATATCAATAAAATATATTATAAAAAAACAAGAATATTAGTGGTGATCTGGTTCGCTCCATCCCAACCTCACTGGGCCACAGATCTCTGATAATCACATGAAAGCGGTCAATCTCTCCAAAATATGCACCTGCCCAAATTCTGGCTACAATTCCAGAACATTCCACAACTCCCTGCCACCGTCCATCTAGACTAAGCCTTTCATCTCGCAGATGAGGACATGGAGAACCCATGGAGATGCAGGGCTTTGCCCAAGGTTACACAGAAGAGAGAACTGAATTCAAACTCAGATCCCCTAATTCCCGATATAGACCAATACAGGAGGCTTCCACTCTACGTTGAGCCCTACTTTGGGAATCATGAAAAGGAAGGGTACTTACAACCAAGAAAATAGAACTCAGGCTTATGAAGGGAAACTAACAGCAGTTAGTATTCCTGCCATAGATTGCTCTTTGGAAAGCAGAAACTAATGCCTTCCATTGATTCAGCAGGTACTTAACGAGAACTTGAGAGCATTTCCTGCTCTAACTGGTTTTGGCTCCATGGATAGAACATCAATCTGCGGACTGAAAGGTCCCAAGTTCGATTCTGGTCAAGGGCATGTACCTTACTTGTGGGCACATTCCCAGTAAGGGGTGTGCAGGAGGCAGCTGATTGGTGTTTCTCTCTCATTGATGTTTCTAACTCTCTATCCCTCTCCCTTCTTCTCTATAAAAAAAATCAATATTTTTTTTAAACATCTCCTAAAATCTCTAATCATTGGGAGACTACTTATTTATTGGAAGTTATGACTTTTGTATCTGGGACCTGAAAAGGATGTTGAGGTCCTCAAAGTGATTTTCTGTGGCTTTGTTCAGGCAGTGGGAACCCCACCCTGAAAGGTGTAGTGCAAAGATGCTTGGTATTTCATTGACTATGATGCAGAAGTTAAGTGTCACATTAATGAAGGAGACCAGAGTTTGAACCAAAGGGTCCCAACATAGATTCTACTGCAGCATAACTCCTCAACGGCCAGAAGAGCTTCAAGTCTTTGGGGACATGCATTTTATAAATAGCAGTAGGAAAACCAGATTCCAGTTTCATCTTTCTGGAAAGAAGCAGGAAGCGCTTTTGACTGATATATATCGTCTCAGGTGGGTGCCAAAAGGCAGCCTTTTATCAAGAGTGGGCAGAGCCTAATGGTGAAGGCTGGAGATGCCCTGGATAGGAGCTTCCCTGCTGACTGGCTGTGTGACCTCGGGCAAAGCTTTTTAGTTCTTTGAACCTTGGTTTTCTCATCTGCAAATTGGGAATAGTAATACTCTCCTCATAAGGGAGGAGAAATACCCAAGGAAGGAGTAAGATCCAAACCAGGAAGAGAAGCCTCCTTCTCCCTGCGGAGTGCCTGAGTGCAGGCTTGATGTTGTACTTGCTACAAGGAAGTGCCTACAGGGTCCAGGCCATTATCACCGAGCAGAAACCAAAGGGTAACCTTGGAGCTGAGAGGCAACGATCTGATAACTGCTAAAACGGGCGGTCAAAAACGTTTGAATTAAAGTAGGAAAAGCCACATAATCGTCAGTAACTAACCTTAGCCCCTGTTTATGCCCCCTTCTTTCAGTCCCATAAATTTTTACCACCAATAAATGTCCCACCTCTCACTTCTTTCGTAATTTACTCTCCAGAAGCTCATTTCCCTCTGGGGGATTCCGAGTTGGTTTGTTGTCTTAATGAGGCATGAGTCTTTCTTCTCTTGGCACACACTTAAAAGAGACTCGTGCATGAAAGGGAGAGGGAAAGCACTCACAAAAACAACCTAAGACCCAGTATCTCATCTCACAGTGTATTTCTCCACTTGGCCTTGAACCTGTACCCCTCCCCCCCTATCTCTCATTCCTAAGCTGTCCACTGTGGGCATGTCCTGAAGCTCCTGGCTCTCCATGGCAGTGGAAGGGATCAGAGTTGATCCAGGAGCCAGTCTCTGCCTCTAAAGAAAATGCAGTGACCACCTCAGGTCAGACCATGGGATTAATCTCCTTGAACAAATCTGAAAGAGTCCAGTCTCCAAGCGATTTAGGAGAAAATTAGCAACAGAGCGAACAGCAGACTTGGAGGATAATTACGAGCACCAACATTATTCAGAAAGCATTTGGAAAGGACTAATCGTTTAAACTTGAGAAGCAAAGCAGGGGGAGAGTAGCATGCAGAGAGGCCTGCCATTGCCCTCCTGGGAGATGGTGTTATTAATAGGCACCAAATGTGTGTGTCAAGACAATGTTCTTAGGCATCAACCACCCTGTTCTTCCCAAATATTTCATTCCCTTCTGAAGAGTCAGATTTAATTAGTGTTAACGGATGGTTCCCCTGCTGGAATTAGCTCAACTGTAAAAATGGGGGGGATGGAGGTAGGGAGGATAGTTAAAACCTACAAGGATGGTCCTCGCTAGTTTGGCTCAGTGGATAGAGCATCGGCCTGCGGACTCAAAAGTCTCAGTCAAGGGCACATGCTCAGGTTGTGGGCACAATCCCTAGTAGGGAACATGCAGGAGACAGCCAATCAATGATTCTCTCTCATTATTGTTGTCTCACTCTCTCTCTCCCTCTCCCTTCCTCTCTGAAATCACTAAAAAAAAAAAAAAAAAAATATATATATATATATATATATATATATATATATATATATATATATATATATTTGCAAACTTAATTTGTTTACCATCCTTCAGATCCTTCAGAAGGGCTGGGAAGGTGATCACTTTAGTCTAGAAAATGCCAATTGGAAAAACTAGAGGAATGTAATCTTTCCACCAAAATGTATCTCTGTATATGTAGCTGTCTTACATATTTATCTGCAAGTGATGGTCATTGTGGGCCATGAAACCCAGAGTATACTGGTGGGAAGTCATCTCAGTATCTTTTTAAGGTTCTACCTTCCTACCCCTCTGTGTACTGAGGAAGCCATGCTCTCACGTAATCAAGGATAACCCTGTGTGTATCCCTGGGTAACTGGGTTGTTACCCAGATCTTTACTTTCTTCTTTTTTTAAAAATTTTATTAAATTATTATCTCTGTACATATACCATTGCCCCCCACTTTCTTTCTATTTATCTGTATTTTCTACAGTGCGCATGTATTCTTTGTGAAATTAGGAAGATATAAAAATTTTAATGGGAAAAAAACACACACATTTTTTAAATCCCTAAATCTTTGGCAGTATTACTGCTTTATGTCTCATATCTAGCTAGATCCTTTTTAGCCTTTTCACTCCCCCTGCTCAGCAGACATTTTGGAAAAAGATTTATGTCTTCAGTCTTGAACTTCTAAAAACAACCTTCATTTTCTTCTACCCAGCGGTGATTGATGCTACACCTGCCTCTGATGTGACAAACACTGGCAGTGACTAAAAGCCTTTCATGATTCCTGTGAGTTCTGAGGCCCCAGAAGGCACGAGCCAGGGGCACCGAGCCATGTGAAGATGCTCTGTAGGCTGTAATTCTGCCAGCGGGCACCTGGAAGCTATCACCTTGTATCACTAACCTTTGATCTCTTGCTCTGCTCTTTCAGATTTTTGACAGTGAAGCCAAAGACCTCGAGAGAGAAGTTTGCTTTATTGATATTGCCTGCGATGAAATTCCAGAGCGTTACTACAAAGAATCTGAGGTGAGCGATCGATGGGATGACATGTGGAAGCGATTCATTCATTAAGAATTATTAAGTCCCCCATAACCAGGAGACTTCCATTTGTCTTTGTGTTCCTTTAGTCTGGTTTCACATTTTGCTGGGTTCTTGCGTATCTCAACATGAAATCCCACCTCCTCAGGGCCCATCATTGGCCCTGGCTGCCACACAATTTCAGTGTAGTCTTCCTATCCCCCCAATTCTGCCATCATTCTGGGCAGCAAAATACTCACAAAGCTAAACTTATCCAACATACTGGTCTCTCTTAAAAAACAGCAGTTACTGCTGTAGCCGGTTTGGCTCAGTGGGTTAAGCATCAGCCTGTGGACTGAAGGGTCCAGGGTTCGATTCCTGTCAAAGGGACGTACCTCAGTTGTAGGCTTCTGGCCCTGTTCGGGGGCATGCAGGAGCAACCAATTGATGTGTCTCTCTCACATTGGTGTTTCTCTCTGTCTCTCCCTCTCCCTTCCACCCTCAATGGAGGGAAAAATATCCTTGAGTGAGGATTTAAAAAAAAACAAAACAGCAATTACTGCCTCCACTGGGTGGCTGTTGGTTGGAGTGTCGTACCCGTACACCAAAACAGGTTTCGGGTTCGATCCCAGGTCAGGGAGAATATGGAAAGCAACAGATGGAATATCAATGTTTCTCTCTCTTCCTTTCTCTTCCTATCCCACCCTTCCTCTCTCTCTCTAAAGTCAATAAACATATGCTCGGGTGAGGATTTAAAACAAAAACCAGTGTTTACTTCTGGCTTCCTGTTTTTCCAGGCTTCTGCATAACCTGTCTCCCATCTGTGAGGGAGAGGCTGAGTTTCATTTGTATCTTTGGGGTCTCACACACAGAAAATGCCCACTCAGTCCCCTCTGAATGAATGTTAGAGTATGGGTAGCACCTGTCAGCGGGGAACCTTTCTCTCTCCAAGCGGGAAGCACTTTCATGGGGCTTCTCCTTTTTCTGTCTTGTCTGAGAATAAATTCAAAAGACTATCTTCTCTACAGTTTCTACCCTAATAGAATCCATTGTTCGCCTCAGCCCGACCTTTTTACTTGTCTGTGGGTGCAAGCCATCGTTTATATCCCGTTAGTGCTTTATTGATGGCTGCAGAAGGCACTCGGGTGATCCCCTTGTAAATAAGGCCCAGCCCCGCAAGGACAGCGGATGCAGGGCTGTTTCTGTTGTTTAGCAACATGCAGCCAATCACAGTGTGTTTGGGTCCAGGGCCCCAGACCCGTCCTTGAGCCGTAACATGTGAACCTTGAAACTCTTCTCTGAGATTCATTAAGGCTGATTTAAGACACAATAAATAAACCCGTTAAAAATAAATCCCACCGCTGCACAAACTGTGGTTCAGGGTTGTTGTGTTTTCACCTTCGCATTTTGGGGTTCGTTTGGATATAAAGGCCTAAGCTGAGGGTAGCAAATGCCGAGCCAGCTGCTTGATGGCAGGCGTGGCTCCGCAGCTGAGGTCACCTCAAAGACCAGGAGAGGCTGCGCTGTGAGTTGTTCTCCATTCTGGTCCAAGGCTGAGCTTTTCAGTGCCATCAATTCAGAGGACACTCTGCAGCCAGCAGCGCTCATGCGTTTTCAGAGAAACAGAGTGAGATGCTCTCTGTGGAACATGCCGAGGAGGAGAAAGCTGGCCTCCCCGCCTCACGGCACGGAGGAGCCATTTCTGAGGTTTCACAGCAAGTTGGCCAGTACGATGGGGCTTCCGTGATAATGCAGCATCGTGCAGCACATGGGTGGAGCTGTGGCCCCGTCACGCCCGTGGCTCTTTGGGCCTCGGGATGCCACTGTCCTTCCTGCACATCTGGCCTCTTGGGAGCTCGGGGCGTCCCGAACGGCAGTGTTGCCAGAAAACTAATTTCAGCTCTTCCTCTTCAATTGCTCTGGGGTAGTCCTGCCTGTACTCCGGGAGTTCCCTCTTGGTTCGTGGAAAGTCTCAGGACAAGCGTGGAATACTAATGAGGAAATCAGCCGGCCCTTTCTGCTCAGCGGTGCCTTACTCATTTCCCTGTGCTTCGCGCTCCAAGAACCACCGCTGGGCAGGCATTCCAGGAACTTGGACTTCTTGCTTCACAGTCATTAATTTCTCTGGGCCTTGGTATTCTTTTCTGGATGCAGTTTGACCAAAGAAATGAGAGGAGAATCATCATTCGTCGAATAAATGTTCAGTGAGTGTGACATTCAGTATTAAGGTGGTAACACGGCAATGGGCAGAAGAGACGCTGAGGGCCCCTTCCCTCAGAACACAGACTAGCAGGCGAGCCAAACAATAACGAAATAATAATGAGGACACACAGGGAAACAGAACGTGAAAGGATGGAATCAGGAAAAACGTACTGCAGGAGCTGAGACCGGTGTGGCTCAATGGCTAGAGCGTCGGCTTGGGGACTGAAGGGACCCGGGTTCGATTCCGGTCAAGGGCATGTACCTTGGTTGCGGGCACATCCCCAGTAGGGGGTGTGCAAGAGGCAGCTGGTCGATGACTCTCTCTCATCGTTGTTTCTAACTCTTTATCTCTCTCCCTTCCTCCCTGTATAAAATCAATAAAATATATTTTTTTAAATTAAAAAAAAAAAAAAACGTACTGCAGGACATGACATGCCGAGACCCACGGAACAGAAAGAGCTGGGGGAGGAGGTAGCAGCATGGGTGGGGCCCTGAGGTGCCACGAATGAGGAATCAGAAGGCGGCCAGCCTGGTGGCAGTGGAAACAAGGAACAATGGTTCGAGGGAGATTGGATAGGGAGATGGGGCTATGTTAAGACACTTAGATTTTATTTTGTTCAAGTGCAATCGAATGCCTTTTAAATGTATATATTTATATTGATTTTAGAGAGAGGAAGGGAGAGGGATAGAGAGAAACATCGATGAGTTTCATTGATCAGCTGACTCCTGCTTGCCCCACATTGGGGAACGAACCTGCAACTCAGACATGTGCCCTGTCCGGGAATCAAACTTAGACCTCCTGCTTTATGGGTCAACACTCAACCTCGGAGCCATACTGGTCAGGCTGCCTTGAGTAAAACCTCGGTGGTTGGGAGGAAGCCCAGTCTCTTAGCATGGCCCTCTGTCTTTCCCAGTCTCCTGTCCTCCCTGCCTCTGTGCCACTCCCTGGGGAGCATCCAGTTATTCCTCTTTAGAGGTCAGCTCAAACGTGACCTCTCCCGTGGGCCCCCCTGAGCATCCCACACCCCACCCACTGTGCGGATTTCTGGTCTGTGGGGTTTCCAGGTCATGCTAACTCATAGTTATGTCAACAGCACCACGAAGACAAGGGCAGTTGTCTTTATCACCGTGCCTCACCAGCTGGCACAGCGCTGGCACATGGCAGATGCTCATGAAGCGGTTGTTGAATGAATGAATGAAAGCCAGGGGCTTTGTTTTCCCTTCCAGCAGCCACGGCCTCAGAGCGAGCACCATCCGAGAAAATGGATTGGTTGCCAGCAAGCTAACAGTTGTGAATCAGAGTCCTTTTCTTTTTTCTTTTTAATCTGAGGCATACAGCTTTACCCACTTTGTCTTCCAATCCATCTTCGTAACTTGGCTACGTCAGCATCATCAGTAGGATCGCACTTTCTGGGGAGAAAGCTGTGGTGCCAGTGGCTGAATCTGAGGTTTCTGATGCTTATGGATCTGGACCAGGGTTATCTAGGTCAGTCCTCTCCACCCAGCTCCTGTCACTCACACCGCCGTCCAGACCGGAGAAGAGGATTAAAGCACTTTTTCTTTTTCCATTTCTCCTTGGAAACCTCTGAGCCACATAATCAAGAATGCCTCTCTCCATAAGGTGACTGGAGCTGGGAATTTTCCGCTGGTGCCCTCTGCCTGGTGGCTCTGGTGCCATCACTAACCGGGGAGACAGAAGGTCACTGGAGGCTCTGGATCAGCTGACGCCTAGCCCAGTGCTCTCTATATTCTCCTTTTCCAGACTGCTCTTTCCTGTGCGTATCCAGGGCCCGAGCCTCAGCTCCCTAGAACCCCTTTGTCTCAAGTTCTGTTCTCTCATATCCATTGCAGAATTCTGCAGAGTATCGCTGTGTTTAAAAAAAACAACAACAACACAGTCACTATGATTTTTCAGGCTCAGAGAGCTCATCCATCAGTCTCAACCCAGTCCCACCAAGGCCCCCCACCAGAACCGGAAAGCTCTTTGTACCGAGTCACATGAGCAGCACCCATGCAGCAAATAGGAGGGGAGGCCAAAATCTGAGCAGGTTGTACTTGATGTGTGGTTGATAGGTGGATTGTTTCCTCTCCCCAAGATTTCCATCCTGACCCTTTGAAGCTCTGCCATGGTTTCAAGATGAAGGAGAAACTCTGCGTGATTGGTTGGAGCATGCCCATAGAGGGCACAGGCAGTGACCCTTCCCTGCAAGACTGAGCAGCTTAGGGGGCGGGAGCACATCTGGACACTCCGCCTACAGCGCTAGTCCAGCCTGGACAGTCTCTGACAGCCATGCTCAGAGGGCTCTGACTCAGGCCTTGGTTTTGGCTCTGTAAAGTCCGGCGCTCTTCCTCCTGGATTCACTACATACTGGCGTCCACTGTAAGACGAGGAGTGACCAAAGATAACGGCATCTCTATTGGCCTCCTTGCAGCTCCCCAGAGGCGCCAATGTGGAGGACACACAGAGAAGCTTCTAGGTGTTCAGACATGCCTTGAGTAGAAGGGAGCGGGTGTATTTCCCTGGTGAAGGAAGTTTAGAAGTAGAGAATTTTTTTGTGTTTTGTCTTTTCTTCTTCTCCTTCTCTGTCGTCGTCGTCTTCTTCTTCTTCTTCTTCTTCTTCTTCTTCTTCTTCTTCTTCATCTACTTCTTCGTTGATTTTTGTAAAGCAGAGGGAAGTCTCTCAGCTAGTGTTTCTCTATTGGGGGCAGTTTTACCCCCAGGTGACATCCAGCAATGTCTGGGGATAGTTCTGGTTGTCACCACGAAGTGGAGGATGTTTGGCATCTAGTGGGCAGAGGCCAGAGAT